AAAAATTTGGGGCTTCATTTTTCACATAGGGGGGATGGGTTCTATCTTCTTAGACTTGCTATTTACCCTACAATGAGTGGATCCCGGGGTTAGGCAATTGGTGTAGGTGCTGTTTGGGGAGCAGATTAAAGGGACCCCATTGGAAAAAAAGACAGTCTGATGACAAATTAATTTTTTTGGGTTTACCCCTGGCTACTCTTATTTAAAAATTTAAAAAAAAAATTTTTTCTTTAACTGACTTTCGTAATTACATTTGATCTCGATTGAGATGGTGTTATTTCCTATAAACGATGTCAATCAAATTTGCCCAAAAATGAACGGAAAACACTTGGGAAAAAAGGGTTACATTCATTAGACCCCCTACAAAAAAAAAAAAATTAAAGCTCTTGTACATTGTCAAACTAAAAAAAATCAAATTACTATTCATAACATTACACAGTGGCCCTTGGGAAACAAAAATTTAATCCGTTCCAGAGGTTTGTCTTTAACGTTTTTTTATTACCAAAAAATTTTCCCCATCGAATCAGGGAAAACCCAAATTAATCCTTTTCAGACCCCCAAAAAGTATTAAATAAAACAAATTTTTTACGTGTATTACATTTCCCTACACAGAAAACAATGAGACATGCAGAATAAACAACAGTGAAATGACACTTCCCTTATTGAAGATGTGTGATGAGTGGAAGGGAGGGGGCAGAGGATGGGGATTTACGTTGTTGGAAGGGGAATCCCCTTCCTAAAGACTTCGGGGAACAAGTCCTTTTTTTTGTTTTTTAATGCCCCCAGGCCACTGAAGTCACTGGGCCTTGTCACACCAAAAATCTGTCCCGAGAGCTTGTTTCTGGTGTCTCTTTAAAAATTTCCCTAAAAAGGGAACAAAAGGTCATTTTAGATGTTGCCAGCACGCCTGAACATCTGTGCAGGTATGTTCTCCAAAATGTTTGCACATAAGAAAGCAGGAACACTGCGCAGGCCTGTTGGCCCAAAATAGGCGGTCCCTACAAACCACCCACCCAAAAGAATCTATTTGCCCAACCCAATTTTCAAAAGCTTCAAAACAATAACCTTTGATAATTTTATTCACTCATGTGCAAGTCCCAATCCAATCAAATTTGTGTGTGTGGGAAGTACCTGTTGGTATGTGGGAATACCCCGGGGTTTGGGGGGTTTTGGGGGAAGTCCCTGGGGTGGTATGGGGAAATACCCTGGGTTTGGGGGTTTTGGGGAGGTACCTGGCTGGTATGTGGGGAGGGACCTTTTGGGGGCTGGGATTCGGAAATTTTTCCCCGGTGGTATGTGGGAAGTTCCTGGCTAG